GTAAGTAATAAAAATCATCAAAAAATATGCAGGTTAACAAGCGATTGCGTCTCCAGCTACATCATTACAGATTGCGTACCGTGACCGGTGTTGTATCCTATCAACGGTCTAACGGCCTCCGATCCTATTTCCCGACCTTTCGTCGAGAAGATTAGACGTGAAACACACGTATAACATTTCTTGCATCAATGATGACTGGCAGCTGCAGAATTCTCAAGGATTCGCTGCTCCTCTTTTTCTTTTAAGCAACCGACCCTCTTAACCTTAAACCCTTTTGGTGAATATGTGCCGCAAGGAGCGAGAACGAAGGGCAAGAGAGCCCTTAATGGAACTTTAGTTAAAGCGGATGGAAAATTAGCGGTCGGAGCATGCAAGAGGCGAGATTAATCGCCGACATATTTAATATTCTCATCGTTGGAGTATACAAGAGAACTGGTTGCGCTAAAATATTTAACCGTTTACTTTATATATAAAATCGCCTCGCTAAAATATATAAGATTTTGTTCATATTAATTTATTATAATATAGAAATATAAATAAAATTAGTTTAATGTAACTTTTTTACATTTACGTATGTGAGTTTGGCAGTGCAGCCTGATCCGCTGCATACAAAACGATCATCGAATCCAATTTCCTGAGGTTCCCAAATCACAATTGCTCTCGTGAAAATTTTATTGTCGTCATACATTTCGCGACGCGAAATAACTTCCGGCAGTATTGGAGAACATAACTCACAGCACGACGAATTCAAATATCTGGTGGTAAAAATCGACCCTCGTGGCGAGCGAGCCAGCCGTGTTAAAACGCCGCTCCATTATTCCGGCGAGTCGGTGACTTTTACGAGCGCAGCACGAGCGCTCGTTGCAGTTATCGCGGCGTTACATCGCGGAGTTACGTCGCCGTTACGATTGTTGTGGAACGTGGCGCTGCTTATTCGGCGTTTTACTGATCGCAATACTGAGAGCCGACGATTGAGACGTTAATTAGCAAAAAATTTTGCGCTTGCCTTGTTCCTCGATCCGCGTCACGGGACTCGCGGCGGGACTAATTAACTCGCCGAGTATCTCTACGCTGATAAAAAAGCGCCGCGGATTAATCACGAGCTGCTATATCTACATCGTTGTCGTCGTAGAAGGCCCTACAACGGCCGACCGATATGGTCCTTAGGCGGCTTATTTGCGAGCAGGTTAGTGACTTCTCTTTGCATATCGCGGGTAATCTGCTCGAGAGGGTTCTGGTTTCTGACTTTCAGCGTGGGGCGACTCTTGCTTACGCTATCAGTCATTCTTGGTGTAATCGTGACGTGCGCCGCACCCGCGATTATGATGTCTGGTAAATTATGTATTATAGCGTATGGCACGATACTATTTATAGTAACCGCGCGATAATACACCCGCGTGTTACTGCACGTTGAAATATACGCGCAAGAGAGAAAAAGGCTCTTAAAACTACGGCTTAGGATAACTGCGGAGAATACAGTTGCTTTGAAAAAGATTGGTTTGACTATATTTCGTGGCTTTAACGAGAGATTCTTGTCTTACCGAGAACGAAATAAAGAAGCTCTATGGTAGATGGAGAGAACTCGGTATAACAGAGTACGATGCTAACGAAGAGTTATACAAGGCTCAACTAATCCAATGTAGCAATAACCAACTTTGCTAATTGGTGTTGGGTACATGTAAATACTGCGAATTCCTTTGACATAATAATATGGCAACATTAATTAGCAATAACAGCAGTTGCAGTTTCACGAAAAATATTATGTTATCATGTAGTTTATCAAATAGTTTAAATATAAACATATACTTATATTTATGTTAAAGATATATTTATGTTTATATATTTATATGTTTATAAGATTTATTTTTATTTAAGATTTATTTATTTTTATTTTTTCACCTGACTTTGCCCAAACTCTTGTTTTTCTTAACGCAAACATTAACAACAATTATTAACTAAATAATTGATAATAAGTGCTACATCGTGATATTGCGATAAATCATTATCGATAAAAGATTACTGAAGTTGCCTTCTTTAATCATCCATTAGCATAAGCAGGTTTTATATGCCTGGTTCCTATTACGTAAACAAGGAATTTTCCAAAGAGGTTACCGATATCGATGCCCCTTTAATCAGTGCTAATGTGTTAATGATATCAAACTGCAATCGCACGCATAATTGAGCTGCACCAGATAATTCGATTTGTGTCGCAAAATCGATCTTGTGTTGCATCTTCATTAGACAAATGTGACGTAAATGGAAATTTCAATCTTTAAATATATTAAGATTATATTGAAATAGTAGGATTTAATATATATTTAATATATATTTTTATATATTTTTATATATTTAATATATATTTTTTAATATATTTAATATATATTTTAAAAAAATCGAATTGTCAGAGATAAATACGAATAAAACATTGTTGGCTCAAATAATTTACAACAATATATGTTTTAATATTTTAACATTAGTTAGTACCAATACTTTTTTGTGCAATTGCAACAATTTAATTACAAATTTTCAAAAGATTTTTATCTTTGGCGGTTTTTATTATTTTAGTTTTCATTATGAAATTAAAAATGTTTCCTATTCTTGTTATTTCTATTTACTCATAACTTTCTTCATATATAAGAGATGCATCATAATGCATCATATCCGCTTGAGGTCTAATAACCACGATAACATGAAATCCAGATCATAATTACGTAATTAGGTTAGCGATATAAAAAAATGAAATCATCGCAAGTTTCTGAATAATATATAAAACCTTGATGTCACTGCATCGATTTGGTCGATGTATCAGGAATAACTTTTTGTTTCAAAGCTAAATTCGCAATGAAGTATAAAAACAAGATTAGCGTAAGATGTGACAATATAGCGGTTTTGTTTGTTAAGATAAAATCTGTGAAAATTAGATTCTTGGTACTCCAATTTGTCGTTTAATTGAGTATTTTCAATTTTCAAGCACTAAACGACAATGTAAACATACGTATCACCGCAATCGCAATTATAGTAATAAACCGCTGTAAGTTGTCAGGATATATTATTTGCGGTTGCTATTTCATTTGTGGTACCATATCTGATAGAAGATATGGGAATTGTTCAACAATGTGGTTGTGTCAATCAAAATTCTGATCGATAGTTTAAATCTTAATAAAGTTTTTAAGATACAATAGTAGCACATATATTGACGTGGATTTTTACATTATTTGTTCCTTACCTCAACATTTCTATTTTTAATCTCTTAAGAAATATCAATGGCAAATGCAAAGTCTTAGAAGACAGAAATCGGATTCCCGGAAATAAATTCCAATTCCCATTCCTCGTAACAAACGCCGGTGCTGATTTCGCAATTACGTATTCACCGTCTCAGTCCGTTTCCTTACAGCCAGAGAAGTTTTTAAAATCCATTTTTTGAAGAAAATCGGACTGGATCTCGATTAGATTTCAGCATCTTCATCTGCCAGTGACGCGAAAAGGGACGTCCTTAATCCCCAAACGTCACGTCAAACATTCTGTCCCTGACGCGACAGGCGGGACTTTAAATTATAAAAGACAAACTCGCGTTGCCGGGAGAAATTCAATTTGTGTGCGAGTTTTGCATAACGAGTACGCCGCGGTAGCCGCATATATATAAACCTGATAGTTTCTTATTAAGCCATGCTGACCCAGAACCAGATCCCACAGCGCGAGCACAATGGCATCATCATCAGGGGGTAGCCATCCCCTCAACTGCTCGGTTCAATTGGATGTATAGCTTGCATACCGATAGTCTCGCGAGAACAATACTGTACGTAGACGTGTATGCGCATCAACACATATACGTGTCTTCTCTAGTGACGTAAGTATCGCTATAGCAACACGTAGAATTAACGCACGATGCACAAAGAGAGAAAAAATTCAGTACGTCGAGCTTCGCGATTCGTTTCTTATATTTTTCGAATTGTAGCAGACTTTGAAAGCTTTCTCGATAATATCAGCTTATGAATTGAAGTATGCAGCTTGCATTTGTCTTGATCCGTATTAATATCAGATCAGAAAAAAAAATTGTAAAATCATAAAATAAATTTAGAGTATACGAATATCGTCAAAAAATATGCTGTAAATATGTATTTTTTTTTAAAGTCTCTACATTAAAATACAGTTTCTTTGTAAAAATGAAAATTTGTAACCAAACATATTCTAGGTGCAGCTGTCACGCGTTGTCTGTCGGCCGAAATCGGTTACGACATTGAATGCACATTGAACGAGCTCACGTATGTATCGCGCTCTGCCTGAATCCCTGACCTACATGGATGGCGGAACCTCAAATGGTGGTTGATATACCCCGAAGGATATCAGAGCATGGCTCGCGCACTTACGCGATGTCTGCACCTGCACGAGGCTTCCATCACAAAAAGATACATCGACGCTTCGCGTTCAAACGGGATAAAAGTTTATTGGTCTTCCGAGGAAAATGTCGCTGATCCTACATCCAGTTGTGCGACTTACAGCTCAACATTTTGCACGACGGTCGTGTCGGAAGAAATTGTTTCTCGTTACCTTTCGTGGGGCACAGAGCGCCGCGAGCTCAGGTGGAATCGCAAAATGTCGCTCGTGATTTCACAATGGAAGTACGCGAGATTGGGAGAACAATATTCGCGAAAAGATAAAACATCACAAAAAAATCCTGTCCCAGTTTTCAATCGTATCATAAAACTTCTAGCGAGTTATCAGCTTTTTTTATATTCTGTTTACATAAGATTTACATAAGCATACGACAATTAAAATATCAACTGTGAACATTCTTTAAAAATGTACAAAATCATTTTTTAATATTTTTTATTTTTTAACAATCTAAAAAAATTAACTTTATGTCATTAAAAAAACTCACGCATGTTCTCTTCCTCTTTAATATTATATCTTGTAAATTAAATAATATTATAATTAAGCTGTACCGTATCGTGTACTAACTTAATTTGATTAACAATAGGTACCTAACAATAGGTACTTACCGTGATTTGTTGATTAGTCGGACTAGGGCTGGGGCTGGGAGTGGAATTTGGCGTGGAGAGCTCTCCCGATGCAGGCGAAGGCGAATTTGCAGTGACGCCGCCGACGGTTGGAAATGCCCTCGTTGGATCGGCTTGCCATTGTTTATGGATTTGCTGCGAGGTGTCTCGGAACCGCGCGCCCTAAAGCAAAAAGCACATAATTTCTTATTGAAGACGTTAAAATACAAGCCAAGAGGAGATATTTTGCAAGCGCAATTAGGAACACGTGCCAGTTACTTTAATTTCAAATTAAGACAACAAACGTAGTTTCTTCATAATTTTAGATGATAATGTGTAAAAACATATTATTTTTGGATAATTTTTAAATGACAAGAAAAAAGATGTTAATCATAGTAGCTTATGATATAAAATATATTCATCGCATTCATCTCTTCTGTCGGAATAAAAGTTTTCCCGCGTGTAAACATGTATATTATAGTGTCATTTCACAGTAATTAATACGCGAACGTCGTTTCTCCGAAATGTTGCTGAACACTTGTATCCTTGAAGAAGTAGATCGCTCGCATACGTGTCATATCATCAGATGGCACAATTTGATTAGTCTCGGATATTTGCCTCTAGACAATTGTATCGAGATCGATCGCTCCGCTCCACCGATCCGACAAGTCTAATTAGAATAGAGTGAACCAGCCTACACGAATTGTCGTAAATAAGGTCACATTCCCTGTTAAATTTTATACTAATCTGAAATACCGTTAACTATCTGGTTTCGTATCAACCCATAGGTGTAATGATATAAGCCGAAGTTGCATAAATCAGATTAAAAGTAAGCATGAACGAAGGTTTGAAATTGAACTAAGTGCCAACAAATTGAAACCTATGGTTAAGAAAATAATGCCTATAAAAAGATAATCCTAAATCTATCTCTTTCTTTTTTACGTATAGTAGTATATCCTTTACATATGTATGGTATTAAATGTGCGTAACTTAATTTATATATGAAAAATATGTGTGTCAATCGTTTACCGTGACGTGTATCCACGTGTATCCGTAATTAATAATTCTATAACGGCTATCAAAATGACGAGTTGACGGCTAGCGTAGGAGTTCGTAGACCCCAGGGCCGAACTATACGAAAGATTGCGTGCGCGCATGCAATCCTTCAAGAACGGCGTCGCGGATGCGATAATTGCGCTTATGCAACACCTCGCCGTAATAGCAATTAGCGTTGGGGGAATATAATAGAGGCCGTATAAGCGGAATCTCTCGAGCGAGCGTGTTCCGAACGTGGCCCGTGTCTGCCAATCGACGCTTGCCTTTTTAAGATTCGAGACTGCGAGCGCGAACACGTCGGCGAATTGCGGAGAGTCAATCTAAAATTTTTCACCCATGTCAAATCGGCGCGCCCGATTGCCACGGCCTCGGAATTAATTTCACGAGGAATGAGGCTAATTTACATCCGCTACGGCATTCCCTTCGCAATCGCGGCCACATTATACATAATAATATCTCACGTCGCGTCGTGTAATCTCCCGCAAGATTAAAGGATGCATTTTTCGGGAGCTCCTCTTGCCGCGCGATGCGCGCGGTATTAAATCTGCGGCCGTGTGCACGTGTCGGTCAAAGTGACACTCGTGGAATGGATTGGCAAAACAGTTAGTGTTTGCATAGCTACGTACACGGTGGCTTGGAAATTCTCTCTTCGGATTTTTCAAGAAACGTTCAACTTTTCTCAGTTGCTGCAACTTTTTGTAATAATCGGAAATTATTGATGTTATTTCAATACAATAATTATAATATTATGTTATGATCTAATAATAATTTCTTAATAGAATTGAATAGGAGAGAATTAATTTATATTTTAAGAGCATAATTATTAGTGTCAGCATAATTAATTCTCTGAAATTTCAATAGCATGTTGAAAAATCTTAAAATTAAAAATAAATTTATTTTATTGCGAACATCACGAAATTTCTGTTAGATTAACCGAAATACATATATAAAGTACATATGTAGCATCTTTCTCCACGTGAGAAAGAAATGTATAAATAATTTATAACTTTCTCTACGTAAAATTTATGTGGAAAATAATAAAAATCAATATAGGGAAATTTATGTTTCACGTCACCCGACGTCTGTTTCACACAGAATCTCGATGTACATGAGATGCGAGAGACCGAATGAAGACGCGTTTGTGTGCGTACCATGCCGATCGTACGGGTTTACATAAACGTATATACGATCGAGACTAACGGGTCACTGTGATTTAGCCTCCGTCTTTCATGACGCTACACCGGGAATGATCCAGCACGATCGAGATCGTTAGATACGTCCGTGGCATTCACATGGCGATCCGGACGATCTACGCGGAGGTCGACTACCGGATATGGTACAGCGGAACGCGTGCGGGGTGCGATCGTTTTCATCGTAAACAAAGACGCGGTTTAAATGGTGCTTCAGTTAAATCACGATTTATGGCGGATAAAGCGCGATATTGCGAAACAAAACCCTCTTCCGACGCTGTTGTTCATAATGAATCGCATCGTTCGTACCGTGACAGCGAAAACCTGATTGTTTATGTTATATAATTATTTAGATTCACAGATAACTATACTAGTGGAGTTCTTTCCACTTTCAATTTAAGGCTAATTAATTGCAGTTGTATTTTAAACAAAAATATTGCCTTTCTTTATAACTTATAACTTATAATTTAATAATATTAAAAAGTATTAATAACCACCCTTAAAATAACTTTCAAATTGACATTATTAAATGTCTCTAATTAGTTTTAGTTTAGGTATTCTATGATATAAAAAAGTAACAAATCAATAATTTATAAGCGTATAATTTTTAGAATAAATAAATCTCTCTTTTCCTCTTGGAATACCTTTTTAATTTAAAAATTTATCACAGATTCATCAAAGCATGATATCTTAGCCATTTTTAATGCACGGTTCATCTTATTTATAATAACAATCGTGATAACAATTGATATAAGCAACGTTTATTATTGAGGAAAGATTTTTCGTTATTAACGGACCACCTTTTCTTCCTCTACTTCTGTTAAAATCGCCTATCGCGATCGTCCGAGACTAAGATCGACTGTTATCTATCATGTAATCCCCTCGCAAACACGCGCGGTCGACTCGAGCACGCGGCAAAAATTGATTGCATCGCGGCGGTAATGCAACGCAGCGTGGTTCCGCTTTTTGTTTCTTGTTATCCGTGAAAGGATTGCGACACCGTCGCGAGCAGCGGCATCACCTCGTTTGCATGCGACGTTATTCACTTCGCGAAATTTTTCAGGATCGATTGTCCGTCGGAGCGTAAAAGCGCGAGTGCGCGCGAGTTTCGTGACGATATACGTTGAACATGGCGCGCCACGTTATCCGACAACCGAGACGACACGTCGCTTCTCTAGTTGAGGTTTTGCGGGTACATCAGGAAGTTCTTGGAATTTCTGCTGTAATTCGAAGCGCGCTGACAGACGAGATCACATTCGACCTCGCTGTCATATTTCATACCTTACGATTCGCACTTTTCGTATCGTGCATCAAAAAAGTACTGTCACTATTTTTAAAGCTTATGCTTGAATTAGAAACCAAAAATTTTTCATGAAGTATTATTCAATTTTAATTTAAATAATTGCAATAAATAATTAAGAAGGACAATCGAACGATCTGGACAAAGTAAGATATGAAACATTTAATATATTCAAAAGAGAAGTTGGTACTTTCTCCTCTCCGTATCTTCCAGAACCACGTCATGACGCATTCGTTATTCCCGCGTCATTAAAATTAAACACGCTTGACGTGCCGACGAAGTGTTGGCATGCCGATCGGCCTCGTGTCTTCGAGCGACGATGCCGCGAAGACTAATCGCGCGATCGCAAAAATTGCGAAGCGCATCGAGGAGGAAGCGATCGCACGCCGAATTGAAGTCCCTTCGGATTCGATGCCGCGGCGCATCTCCTATCGAGCGATCTTACCGCGTACCTCATCGAAGAGATCGTCCAGTTCTTTCCGTGGTATCTTAGCCTTCATCCCGCGGGCATTCCTCGCGTCGAACTTCCCGACGTCTCTTTATCTCGACGTTGCGCGGAAGAGACCAAGAGTACAAGAAGAAGAGTCGAAGAGAAGGACAAGGAAGGCCCCGTTTCCCTTCGCTCCTTCAAATGTTCACGAGTCGTGTCTCTTTCTTTCTCTCTCTCCTCCTCTCTCTCTCTCTCTCTCTTGTTTCTGCGAATGTTCTCGAAAGATTCCGCTCTTTCTTAGACATATAAATAATCGATGACACACAGCGAAGTGCGAGAGAAGGTCGCGTGATAATGGCCACGACGACGCGCGGCCGGTTCTGCACTCTTCATCGTCGGGGACGCTGTCGTCGCACCAACCGGTCACGTTGGTCCATCATTCATCGCCCTTGCTGAGTCTCCATTCGATTGGAGTGTGTGTCCGGAGCAGCTCATACGAAATCACACTGACACATGGCATGTCACATCCGATATTTCATTCGGGTTTTTGTCGGCATTCAATTTTTTATCAAAAATTAGTAATTGACATTTTAGCTACAAAATTAGATAATCATATTAATGTTCATATTATTATCATTAATAATATATTATTATCATTAATTTTGAGTTTTAATATATAATTATAATTTATATAATATTATATTTATCCGGGTAGAATAAATTGGAGAAATTTGATTACTAAAAATATATGTTAAATAAATATTTTCGGAATTAAACATTTTATCTCGATAATTATTGAGCAGATAAAACATTCGAAAACTCTTCATACAAGCACTCTTCATACCAACAGTATTAAATATAAAGATTTATTGGTCCATTTGGTAAACCCGTAGTAATATTTTTCTCTTCTGACTTCGACGTACAAATCCACGCCTCGAATTCGCGTGACTTCGTCGATAAACCGCGGAATCCTTTCAAGAACTTTGAAAGCGACATCAATTCGTCTCACGTGTTCACTCGCAGCACATACCAACATTCGAAATATTTCCCTTTCGAAATAAGAGGACCTTGAATACTATTTATATCAGTCGAGTTTCCTACGTAGACAAAAAATTCCTTATTTAGGAGAAAATCCAGTGCATTTTTACCAATAAAAAGACTACTAAAATTATTTTATTTAAAACAAAGTTTATTTACTAAATAGGTT